CTATACATGAGTACAGAGACGTTAGGTTAGCACTGAACAGTACTAAGGAGACAAATGTTGATATTGTTGCCTGGGTGTTCGTAAAAATTGCCTGTGCAGCACATGGGTCCATGCTTAGTTATCATGTGCATCGAACCAGAGACATTTGCACTTGCCTTGATAGGAGCAGCGTGCACACATGACTGCATCTGCAGTTTTCTGTGTGTAGCAATGTCTCTGTGAGAGAGAGAATTAAGGATAATTCTCACTGTGCATCTCCTTGAGGTTTTCCTTCAGCTGCTTTGTTACCTTTCCATGCTCATGCTGTGCTTAAGTGCCAGCACTGGACTAGAGAGACAGCACAGGACAAAGAGACACTGAGTAGTCAAGGCTCTCTGCTCAAAGCAAGCAGCCAGGCCAGGATGGGGAGTGCAGTGCTCCTAGGGGAGGGTTCTTGCTGTGCTCTGCTTGTCTGGAGGAAAGGAAGATGGAAGTGAGCAGATTTTCAAGTCATCTTTTTAGACCAGTACTTTATAAAAAAATCAGAAATCAGAATTTTGTCCCTCACTTCAAGGAATGCCTGCCTCTTTACACTCAAATAAGTAGATTTGAGCATATACTTTGTACTAAAATAAGGTGGGGAAGGATGATCTAAGCACAGTGCACTGTGTTTGGAAGATTTGCTCTTTGCTAGTAGGATCCTGCATTTGCCTCTGTTATTTCAGACTGTTCTTCTCTGCTGATCTCTCCAACTTATTGAGGTCCTTTAAAGGGTTTTAAATTACTCTGGGGTTATCAGCCAGTCCTTCCAGAAAGAAGTAACAAATCAGCATCTGCTAGTTTGTTTTTTTTCTTTATCCCAGGCTGTTTGTATATTATGGAATCATCTCTCTTTCCTGTTGGAAAGTTTCTACAGTCTCCTGCTGGTTATCTGTGCCGTGTGGAGACTGCAGCTGGCACTTCTGATTCACCAGGTCTGTGCTGCTGACCCATCCTCTGACAAAAGGCTAGGGGGTGAGTCATTGCTCCAATTAATGGCACCTAAAAATGATGGTTACTAAACCTCTTATTACTCTTTTCCAATTTGGGAGACTGATTACAACATCATCCATTTTAGGTTATTAGGATAAATCTTTCTTAAATGCCTTTTGTACTATACTGCATCTCTCTCAGCTTTGTACTCCAATGCCAGAAGCACCACTGATTGGAACCAGCCGAGAGTGGCCAGAGACTATCTCAAACCATTTTGAAGGACTCATCTGAAAGGGTTGATGGCCAAAAGTGCTAGTGCAGTCATACTAAGTATGGCTGATCCCTTAACAGGGCACAGATTGCTTTATATTTTGATGCCATTTTTCAGACTTCCTTTTCTTTCTGAAAAAAATACAAAAGGTCAGATGTTGATTTGAAGATTAGGGTCATGATGTAAAAGTATTTGCTATGTCACTTCTTACTGCAAAGCCTAATTTTTAGGCTTTCACACATCACCTGGACAGACAAGGGGACTGAAATACTGACAGTCTGTCGTCACTTCATCCAGCTTTTTTATTTCAGGACAAGAAGTAATACTACCCTTTAAAAAAAAAATAATCTCCATTAATTTGCTGACTTTACTAAAGGCTAACAGAATGTAATGCTGAGGAGCTAACAGTGGGGACCTTGATGGGGCTCAGACAAGGCTACTCAGTACACGGGCTAGGACAAATAGTTTTCTCAGTCTGAGAAATTAAAGAACATTTGTTATGTGATTTCAATGCAGAGAAGGCCATGATCTTCCCTTTTGGCACATGCACAGGTTATCTCTTAGAGCAGTCTGGAAGGATCCTCTGTGACTTTGAAATATTCTGCTGATAACAACATAGACAAGAATTAGACAGAAGAGGGATTTTATAAATAGGCCAAGAGCACCAATCCTAGTTATGTGGAGCAAAGGTATTTTCATCAAATAGATAAAAAGAGCTGCAGAAGGATACTGGAATTGAATTTCTCACATGTGTTAGCACTAGACAAGTTTGGTAAATTTTTATTAACATCACTAACACTCTTCTCTGAACCTGTTAAGATTAACATAGATTAATACCAGAATGCATCTGAGTGTAACTGGGCTCTTCTACAGAAACTTCTTTGGGAACACATCCTTCCATTGGCCTCATTTATCCATTTATTGATAAAATCGGTATCTTGCTGTCACGCAGGTGGAAATTCTCTGCTGGTTTTTACACGATGTAACTTTCCCTACAGTGTCAGTGGAGCTCCAACAGGGTGAAGGGGATTTCTCTCTGGAATTGCTGGTGGTGCTGATGGCAAGCAGGGCTGGCTGTTTCTGCCAGTGACGTTGTCAGGGCTCCCAGTCTGGTTGCTGACAAAGTCTGAGAAGCAAATATGTATCTGGAGTGGTTTCTGCTCTCTCTCAACCACTTCACAGCTGAAAAGAATGGCATGGGACTGAGACAGGCCCTGGCATCTCTTTTTCTGCCAGAATCCTATTTTACTTCTTTCTTCTATTCACTGATGTCTTTCTGTAGCACTTTCAATCTCTTTTCCTAGAACGCAAGGAAATTTCTTGGTCGAGGGAGCTGAACATTGGGATCATGAACATCTGAAAGACAAGCCTATTCATTCAGGAGTCTTGCAGCTGGGAAGCAGTTCTTTGATTCTTCCCAAAAGAATACAGCAATCTGCTCCCACACCCCTTTAATTCAAATCTTTATAACTCACTTGCCTGCCTCCACTACTCACTGCTGTTTGGGTGTCCTTTCAGTTACCTGCTTGTCAAGCTATAGCACCAAAGAGCTGCTTACTGCAATATAATGATAAAACACTTTTTTGGAGGGTGGGGGTGGGGAAGGGAAATATTTTTTTCATTTCATCCTCTAACATAAGAAGAAATGTACCACTACCCAGTTTCCAGGCAGGCAATTTTTCTGCAAGTTTTGTAAATAAGGGACTTTTTTTTTGGTGTGGCATAGGCAATTGTACCAAGGTTTACACCTGCAGTGTCTGGCTTGTGGAACAAGAATCCAAATGCTGATTCATAATTTATATGTAACAAACTTGGCATTGCTCTAAAGAATAACAGCCAAACCACCCAGTCTGATGTGTAATTATTTCCTGCAATTGGCTGGTTTGCTGAGCCCTACCAGGTACACTGAAAGCTTTTGTAAAGCAGTTAAGCTGGTCTGCAAAGAACTTGTTAAACTGAACATACAGAGCAACTTGTAAATGGAATGAGCAGAACCTAACAAGAGATAATGTGATACACAGCAACAAAAAGCAAGTCGGGTACTGCAAGAAAAGCAATTGGAGGGGAAAAGAGTACAAGGTCTGCACATTTCTTGCTAGATATAAGAACACAGGAATGAGTAAAATTTACTGTTAGGTATCTGACTTTCAGGACCTGCAATGGGAAAATCAAAAGCTATGAGAAAGATAACCAAAGTTAACTAAGGTAAGTTAACTTTGCTGAAAACATATTACCAAAAATGTGCTTTACATTAAAGAACAGAAAGAGGATTGCAGATGATGTTTCTCTATTCTTTTCTTTTGGTCATAGCAAAGAATGAAATGCTCAGAACTGGCACATGGGTGAGATACAGCAGGCAGCGTGTGTGTTCAGCAGATGGCATGATCCACTCAGATTTAACAGCTGCACTTGAGCATAATTTGTGACCTCTAGCTTGTGATAATCTAAATTCTCTTTCCAGTACTGGAGAGAAGGGATAGGCAAAGTTCATCTCCTGACTATAACTCTATAATGCTAAAAGAGCCATTTTACTCAAAATGATAAAATAAATGCTTTTTACTGTCACCCTTTGTGCAGGGACTATTTGTACATAAAAATATTTCATATAGTGGCCCAGGTGTTTCTGCATCCCTAGAGTGAAGGGTTAGAGTGAAGCCAGCAGCAGCAATAGAGAAACCTACTGTGGAGCATATTAAATAGGGATTTATCTGCTTTTCAATGATAAACCTTAGCTGAACACTGAAAACACAAAAGTGGCACAGGAAAACTAGGATTTGTTGGTGGTGCTTTAAGAAAAATGCTGTAGGTTAAAAAGAAGCAATTGTGTCTGCTATACACCATGAAAAACTTACACCCACGGATTTTTGGAAAAGTGGAGATTTGGAGAAGCAGACACTTCCTGTGTCAAGTTAACTTCAAATTCTGCATGGTATCTGACTGTCTGGTTAGCAGCTAAGAAGAAGGGCATTTGGCAGTGTCAGGAAGGTTTGTGCTTTGCATTCCCCAGCCTGCACCTGGGAGCAGAAACCATTTGTTAAAGACTTGAACTGATTTTACCACCTTTTGGCTTAGAAGGAGTATTGGCTGCCTGACTGCTAGACCCACAGAGGAAATTCAGCCACTGGAATACTAAGCACTGGAATACTAAGCACTGAGCTCTTGGGCCCCTGGGGGAATTCACATCCATCTTGGGGAGCCCGGGTTCCTGGCGTGATATACTGCTCCTTCCATTTCTGCACTGAAATCTCTATTCTAGCAAGCAAGCTGTTTATTTGTTCAATTGTTTTAATACAAATTATTTAAATTTGGCTTTAACTTTGACTGTATGTTCTTTAGTTTTTTTAACAGTCGTTCCTTATTTCTGAAAAAATCCCAGCAAAACTGAATATGAGAAAAATGCTTATAGCAGTAATAAGCCTCTCACTTCAATAATAGTATTTTCTCCTGTTTTGGAATACTGTTTTAGGATGGACTTATTGTCACAGTACTAGAAAAAACAAAGAAAACAAAGCAAAGGCATATGTCTTGTACATTTCTCCCCTTTAATATTATAGAAAGCTCATAATTCAGATTAGAATCCCTGTTCAGTTGGAAAGAGAGGGGGAAGGCCACTAGATGGTGGTAAAAACCCAAGCCTTTGCTATGAGATCTGTGGAAAGAGAAGTCCAGGGGGGCAAAGAAGAGGAGGAGGAGCCACAGTTTGAGTACTGAAGTCATTATTGCTTGGAGTCTATAAAAAGGCAGTTGCACAGTAAGTAATTTATACGTGGTCAGCTTTGACTCTATGGATTTACTAATTCCTTTCCCTCTATTTTTTTTAATCTTTTGCCACCAAGGAGTCCCCAGCCCCAGATGTCAGGGGGGCTGAAACTTCAGCTCTCTGGAGGAAACGTTGCAGATGAGGAAAAGCAGCTGAAGGACCAGCTCTGGTAAATAGGTACAGTAAATCCTTCATTGCAAATAAAAAATGGCTTTTTGAAACTGAAAATTGTTTAGCATTATATGCTTTGAATTTTTATTTGCAACAAGTCACTGACAATCAGCTCTAAATATTCCTTTTATTAAAAATGTGATGAGTTACAACTTTCCCTAAATATTGTCATTACCAGAAAACCATTGAATAAAAGATTCTGGATTTGGAAGAGAAAACTTCTTTTACAATAGAAATCTACTCACACTAATTCTGTAATCTTAGTGTGTCCTGAAATGTATAGATTTCCCTTGGTTAGGTGTTTGATACTAAGCTTTTAAATGAGCATGTTAACACTGCACAGATAAGGTGTTTGTAATATAGTTCATGCCAAATTAAATGTACAAAGGTCAGTAAATCCATTTAAACCTTTTACTGAAAATGTTCAATTCTTCATTGTGTCAATAATAGAAACTTCTTTATATCGTATTCAAGTGAGCAGTTTCTGCTGGACCTAATGCTACATCCTCCTGCATTTCTGGGGTCTGAGAACTGGGACTGGGAAAACTGTGTTTTGTTTGCTTTTCAGCAGAACTTCCAGGACATTCTAGGGAAGTACTCCAGGGAATCAGATAGAATAAACAAAACCATGAATGAAGAGTGCAGGAATCTTTTAATCAGTTTGTGATTTTAATTTCTGAGTAAGGATAGGTAGAAAATCTCTGAGCCCACCAAAGTTTAATTTAGAATCAGTGAAGGAATGTGGTGTGGAAGAGATGGGACACGTACAAGACAAATTAAATATAAATGGCTGGTATTTATATTGTCAACTTCTGCCTGTAATCTTCATGCTATATTTTTTTTTTAGGTAGGATCTTCTGCCTTTTGGAAAATGCATTTGCTACACTCCTTGGCAAGCCCTTCAGAAGGAACAGTATGTGTTAGCTCCCAGAGATGAACACGTCCTCTCAATTCTATGTTTCTGAACTAAACCTGAGTGCCTTTGGTAGCAACTTTACTGTGCCTACTGCAAAGAGCAAGTCATCACCATGTGAGCAAGTGGTCATCGCAGCTGAGGTGTTCCTAACTCTGGGCATTGTAAGCCTCCTTGAAAACATACTAGTTATATGTGCAATAGTTAAGAACAAGAACTTGCACTCACCCATGTATTTTTTTGTTTGCAGTTTAGCAGTGGCTGACATGCTGGTTAGTGTGTCTAATGCTTGGGAGACAATAACCATATACTTAATAAACAATAGACACATCGTTATGGAAGATGCCTTTGTCCGTCATATAGACAATGTCTTTGATTCCATGATCTGCATATCTGTGGTGGCTTCCATGTTCAGTTTGCTGGCTATAGCAGTAGACAGATATATCACTATCTTCTATGCCCTGCGTTATCACAACATCATGACAGTGAAAAGGTCGGGGCTCATTATTGCATGCATCTGGACCTTTTGCACAGGCTGTGGCATTATCTTCATTCTTTATTATGAATCAACTTACGTGGTCATTTGTCTCATCACTATGTTTTTTACCATGTTGTTCCTCATGGTCTCACTGTACATCCATATGTTCCTCCTGGCTCGTACTCATGTGAAGAAAATCGCTGCTTTGCCTGGGTACAACTCTGTCCGTCAAAGAACCAGCATGAAAGGAGCCATCACTCTGACTATGCTTCTTGGCATCTTCATTGTTTGCTGGGCTCCATTCTTCCTTCATCTCATCCTGATGATCTCCTGCCCTCAAAACCTCTACTGTGTTTGCTTCATGTCTCACTTCAACATGTACCTCATTCTCATTATGTGCAACTCGGTGATCGACCCCTTGATCTACGCCTTTCGCAGCCAGGAAATGAGGAAGACCTTCAAAGAGATAATTTGTTGCTATAGCTTGAGAATGCTCTGTGGGTTATCAAACAAGTATTAAGATAACAAAACCAAACAAGGGAAGAGACTGGAAAGGCAACATCTTCCTGCATCCTGTAATTCTGGTGAAATGCCTATGGAAGATTTTCTCCATTCAGCTGCCATGATTCCCACAGCAATCAGAAACCCTTTTTTAACATGTGATTTTACATTTCTTTTCCTCCACACACCTCTCATGCTGGTGGTTGGAGCTACTCAGTACATCTGTATTATGGGAATAAAGGATATTTTGGATAAAGGATATTTTTTAATCTCATTTACTCTATTGAAGATTGGAATATATAAGAGGATTATACAGGGAAAACCTTATTTTTATTTCTGCTAAATGCAATGAGCAAATTCTGCCATGTGAATGAACCCACCAGCCTCTCAATGTGTGTTTCTTTTGGTGTTATTTGTCTCTCTAGATAAAAAAAAATAATAAAAATTTATCTCTCTAGATAAAAACAAGCATGGCTTATTTTCATGCCCAGAGTTAACAAGGAAGTTTTTTGCTATTTTCTTCTGAAGACATTAAATCAGAGAAGTAGCTCCAATTATCAAGCTCCATATACCTTGGTCAGCAGTTATGATCAATATACGTGTGCATATCAGCAGTCTTGTAATCCAGTCACAACTGTTACTGCCATAAAATTCCTATTGTGTAAGATGCCAATGTTACCATGAGATTTTCCAGGCTGGATACAGCACTTTGTCATATATGACTATGTATGTTCAAATCACTGTGAAGCAAAATGTACCACAGGTGGATTTTAAGGCTGAATGTGAAGACTGAGCTGATTCTAGTTTGCCTGTTTTCTTTATTTGCCATGGCTAGGGAAGCAAAGAGAGCAGAGCCTATGGATATTCGTGCAATATTTTGTGGAGATGAAAAGATTGAGTGAGTGGCTGCCTTTGTATAGACATTAGAAAAGCTTTTTGGATGTGAAGAGCTTGTGTTACTGTAGATTGCATCTTTCAAGTTGGGAGAGAAAAAACACATTTGATAATCAAAAGGCATGGCAGACAATGGCAAAAAAAGGATTTCAAAATATCAGGTACATGTAGCTATAACAGAGTCCTGACTTTTGTTCCCCAAACAAACAGTTTTCCTCTTAGCTGAGAGGATTCTAAGCTGAAACCCTCATGCCTTGTGTGTGAGTAGTTTGCATCTAGTCATGCTTTCATAAACGTGCTGTTCTGCAACATCTGTGTAATGTGCAAAATACTGGGCTAACAAAAGAGGGAGGAAGTGCAACTTTGGTATTTCTTGATGGCCATGAATGGTGCATATCTTGTGCTGTGATTTAAGTTATGGAAACATAACTTAAAGTTATGGAACATAAGTTATGGAACACCAAGTGGTGTTAAACTACTGACTAGATAGCTGAATATATCTTGAAAAAACAAGCTCTTCCTTCTGAAATTTGGAAGAATAATGCTTGTTATACTTGGTTTATACATGCTGTAAAACTCTTGTTTATCAGTAGACGGTTTATGATTTATTCCATGAGCATTAGGTTATACTTTCAAGGTGAAAGTCCTGATTGGGTTTTAGGAAATTTATTTGCTGCAAGGGTGGTCAAATATGTGAACAGGTTCTCAATGGTTGTGCAAAATCCATCTTAGAGATTTTCATCTTTAGAACTTGACTCAACATCGCCCTGAAAAATCTGCACTAAATTGAAAGCTGACTTTAACTTTGAAGTTGGCCCTGCTTTGAACCCCTAGAAGCAGATTGCCTCCACAGGTGCCTTCCAACCCAAATTATTCAGTAATTCTATGACACAGTTTGGATATTATGATAAAATTATATTTTCCCTCTCCTAATTTTATGTCTTGTGTAAGAAAAATTGGAAAGTATTCCCCGCCGCACACTTAGAGCCTACTTTATGTCTTCATTTGCTTAGGTGGTTTCTGACAGGAGAAGTAAAATGCACCTTTAGCACCAGAGTTATACATTTTGTCTGCTTAAAATTTACTATTCCTCCAGCTCACATATATCTCCCTCTGACATGAGTGGGAATGTTATTCTCAGTGGAGATACTTTAATGTGCTGACTGACATACTGGTTATCAGTGCACTAGGGGCTAGAGTCTTCCTTCAGCTATATCTGAAAATAGGATTTCAGAGAATGCTTCTGGTCAGTAGTGAGAATCTTGCCTGGTTTCAGCTCATCTCTTAATCTTATCCATAAAAAACCTCTAAATGTTGGCTCTTGCAACTATGAATGTAAATGACAAAAGGAGACAGTTCCACTGCATAGTGAAAGGCACCAGCTGATGTAAATAAATCATTAAATCTTCACTGGGTATTGCAAATAAGACAGTTTTGTACATAACTGTAAATCAGCTAAGGGGAAACCAAAACTGTAATAGCTTAAGGTATTTTCTTGACTTGTATATTACTCTTTTTTTTGCTTTGTTTGAAGTCTGTTTGATGTATAAACATAGACATATGAAGAAACTATTAAACTGGATTGCTGGAAACTCCCACATTTCTGGTTATTCATTGTAATGTTTCTGCTACACTATTCACAGAGGGAATATTGCATTACAGACTTTCACGTCTCATTTAAACAGGTGCCTTCTTAACAAACATTCTGAATGAGAGTTACAGACTAATACAGTGTATTTACATTCATACCTATGTTCCCCTGGGTGTCAGCATCACATCTTCATTATAAACTTTACAGGTGGGGAGCTGAAACAATTTAAAAGCAAAATGAAAGTATTTTCAGAACAGGCTAGAACATTTCCTGCAGAACAGGTTGTTTACACTCTAGTAATGAATATAAAATACATATCTCTGGGAGACCATGACAAGCTTTAACATGTTTCTTTCTCCAGTTTAGCTGCAGAATAAAAGGAACATTTAGCATACTGTCACTTCTGTCAGAGCCTGGAAAACACTAAGTGTTGTGATAGACTGGGACGAGCCAGCATTGTGTAAGCAGGAAACTTGCTGTCACAGGACAGTCATGAAAAATTAGTTGCTTGACTGTCATTGCACCATGTCCCTGCAGTTAATGACACTACTCTTGCTTATCCAGCCAGACATTTACGGTTCAGCTTTAGTCACTGGTCAAAGAAAGCTCAAATCACACTATTTCTGCCCCAAAGTGCCAAAACTAATTATTAATTATTGCCTACATTGCTTTAATGACAGAACACTTCACTTTTTCTAACTCACGTGTCACAATTTAAAAGTTCTTAATAAACAAGTATTCTGATCTCCCTCCTGTCACAGATGGGATCAATTTCTATAAAGTCATCTGCATTTTAAGCAGATTAGCATCAGGGGGAATATTAAAAGAAAAAATCTGAATCCTTTTTCCATATCAAGGCCACAACAAAGTTCTAGAAAGTGCGAGTTTCCCAAAGAGACCTAGAGTCTCCTGTAACACAAAATGGTTATAATTGGATGGAGCAAAGAAGTTGGGCTTCAGGATCCTGCTTCCCAAATGGGCACAAATCTGTCACAAAAAGCTCTGATTACTGAGTACCAGTGCCACTGAGTCTGGGCAGGGAGGAATGATTGTTTTCAGATCCACAATCTACACCCTTTGTGCAACCAGTGTCCAGCAGTCTACTAAAATAGCGTGGAACCCTTTTGAGAGTGGGTTGCACATTCATTCCCACCTCTTAGGCTTACCCTCTCAGAAAACCTTCTCAGAATGTCTCTCTGGAGACTGGTGTTGCATTTTTTGTGGATCCTGCCCAAATAAGTGCAGAAAGCACAGGAATCTCCTGCACACACAAATTTTAGGAAGGAAGAAAAGGTTTAAAACCTTTGGGAAAACAACTGAACTCCCTCACACAGCCTGCTCTCTGAAATCTTCAAGGACTCTGTGTTACTCCAAAGTCTTGTTGTGGATTCTCCTGCCTATTTTTCAGTAATTGCTTCCTCTGTTGCTCATCAGCTTCTTGCACAGAAGACCAGTTCATGGTGACCACTGCTGCATTCAGGAATTGCAAAGGATGGTCCCAGTCTTCAGCTGTGTTGGTTTTCATGTGCAGTGCCCTTCCTGTTAGGCAGGGTGGGTGAAGAAGTTTTGGGAACATGGATGTGGAAGTGGGGATCCTCACATGGGACAGACATGTCCTCACATGACAGAAAGTCATTCAGGCTGTGGTGGAGCTTCCTGAATTAGACTCTCTGCTAGTTTATCTCTAGACGAGATGTTCTCCCTTCTTTTCTAGCTTGGCCTGTGTTACAACCTGAGCTGTGGGTATCTTGGATCCTGCTGTTCCTCAAGCAGGACAGAAGAGTCTGTGTGCACCTACCTACATGTCTACATCAGTTTTTACTTCCAAATATAAAATACAAGCATAGATGACATCAACAGATGAAATGTATGTGAGAATGTATAGTTCCTTTTCCTCTAACCTTTCTGCTTTTTGTTATTTTTTATTTGTTATTTGTTACTTTGCTTTCCAATCTGCATCATGCTTTTCATGTATTTTCTCTTCCTGTGAACAAATTAGCAACAGTCAAGATCTGAAGCAGAAGAGAAAAACCTCAAGTACTTTTTGCATCTTGAAGTTTTGAAAATTATACAGATCAGTGTGACAGAACAGAGTTCCTCTAGCACCAGTTAAACTAGAGATCTAGTAAATTTGTTAAATTCTTATGGTTTAAGCATTATTCCCACAACAGTTCTTTTTTTTGAGCAGCTTGCCTAAAAAAGCCCAAAGAATGCATGACCAGCGGTGCTGAGCAAGGAGGGAAGGGTTTTCATCAAAACAAAGGGCAGCTCTTTAGGGACATTATGGAAAGTCTGGACTTGTGTCTAGCAATCCTCTGGAATGTCAGCAGAGCTCCCAGGAAGCTGTGGTGTAGGGACTTCTTGGGCAGGAGGTTATATTTAAAGATTTGTGACCAATAGCTCTAAATGAATCGGTCTTGCACAAATTTACCTAATCACTCTTGGATCTCTTTATTTTAATCTGCAACCTCTTATTTCACAAGTCAGGTATGTTGATTGGAAAAATGATTTTTTTCTCTTATAAAACATCTACTTGTAAG